AGACCGCGGTGTCGTGGATGCGGGACAGGCTCGCGAAAACACTCCTGAAGCGGTGCTGGGAGGAGACCCTGGAGGCGCACCGCGCCCGGCTGAAGACCTGCGCGGCGCAGATCAACAGCGCCTGTGACGTCGACGGCCTGTGCCGCGAGCTGCCGCCCAGGGTAAAGGACCTGGACCGCCGCCAGGGGGGCCGCCTCGCCAAGTGATGCGGTTCGCTGAAAAATAGCGCGTGCCCAATTTAAGGAAACTTTCACACCTGTCTGATTCAGACAGGTGCGAATTGTTTCCTTAAATTTGATTTCTGGGGGGGGGGCGGGCACGGAAGGGGAGAGGGGGCGAGGGCTGGGGGGAAGGGTAGGAGACGCGGAGTCGCCGGGCTCGCGGGCAGCTCAGGCCACGACGCAACGTCACGAGGCTTTTCCGCCGCTCGCCCTGGGGGGCCCTCGTCGCTGCAGCTGGATTCGCGTCGGAATTCTGGGCAGAGCGCGCTCCGGGAGCGGTCCAGGGACTGGCTGCGTCGGTGCTGTTTGGCCTGAAGAGCCACGCGACGGCTCGAGGGGCGAGGCGCCCAACCTCGCGGCGGAAGGCGGCGGGCGGGCGCTGGAGGCAGGCGGAGGGGCATCGAACGCGATTCGCGCGAGAGGGCTGTCGGAGGGAGCCGCCTGACAGCGGCCCAGGGATCGGTTGCATCGGCGCCGTTTGGTGGGAAGGACCGCGCCTTGATTTGAGCGGGAGTCGCAGCCGACCTCGCGGCGGAAGGCGGCTGGCGGGCGCTGGAAGCAGGCGGAGGTAAATCGATGATGCATGCGAGATCGATGGCGCGATGGCTGTCCGAAGGAGCCGCCTGGAGAGCAGGAGAGGGCCTCGCCTGCAGGGAAGACGCGCGGGGCCCAGCGGCCGTCTTATTATATTAATTAAAAGCACCACCCCTCTGCTCCAGGGCGCAGGGGCGCAGATTCGCCGCGCACCACCTTTAATTAATATTATGCTAGGAGTAGGGGCGGCGAACCCGCGATCGCCGATCTGCGTCGTTTTCTAAGGTCCGGCGCCCAACCGCGGCGGTTCCACGACGGTTCCACGACGGTTCCGAGAGATTGACATGTCACGAAATCTTATGAATTCACAAGGTTCCACGACGGTTCCACGACGGCTCCGACGTCGCAAATGCGACGAAACCATATGAATTCACCGGGTTCCACAACGGTTCCACGACGGTTCCACGACGGCTCCGACGTCGCAAGTTTGACGACACCCTGTGAATTCACAAGGTTCCACGACGGTTCCACGACGGTTCCGACGTAGCAAGTGTGATGAAACCCTATGAATTCACAAGTTTCCACAACGGTTCCACGACGGTTCCACGACGGTTACGACGTCGCAAGTGTGACGAAACCTTATGCATTCACAAAGTTCCTGCTTGGTTCCATGCTGGTTCCACGATGGTTCCGACGCCGCCAGTGTGACGAAACCTTATCAATTCACAAGCTCATGCGAGTTCCACGCTGGTTCCACGATGGTTCCGACGTTGCAAGTGTGACGAAACCTTGCGAATCCACAGGGTTCATGCGTTCCCAAAGAAAGCGCGCTCGCGCGCTGTCGCACCTGTTCGAATTTTTAATGTTGCGTTCTTTTTTCCAGTAGACATCTGCCGAGGGCACGTGAAGACCCCTCCTGGGGCCTTCAGCGACTCGGGATCACCGACGCCACGGCCTCAGCGGCAAGGACGGGCGGTCGGGGTCCCAGTGGAGGCCGCTGCCTCCCGAGTTGTTGAAGGTACTTGGGGGGCTGCCGTCGCGTGCCCTCGGCTGGTGCCACCCCGGGGGAGTCCATGTGACCCAGTGCGAGTGAGCCCCAGCGCGGGGCGAGTGGGCTGGGTTCGAACGCGAACGAGTCTGGATATGAGTGGGCCCGGGTCTGCGTAGGTCTGTGCGTAAGTGAGCCCGGGGGGAGTGCATGTGAATGAGCGTGCGTCTGATCACGGGCGCATCTGAGCATGAGTGCGTCTGCGCATTAGCGAGGTCTCAACGTGAAGAAGGTGCGCGGGTGTGAGCAAGTATGGTTACGAGTGGGTCTAGCCGTCAGCGGCCGAGCAGGAACGGGTCTGGGCGCGAGTGGATCTAGGAACGATTGATTAATACTAACTGTCATGGCACCCCTGTGCTCCAGGGCGCAGGGGCGCAGATGCGCCGTGCACCACCTTTAATTAGTATTATAATAGGAGTAGGGGCGGCGAACCGTAGCACCCCTGGCACCCCTGCTCTCTTCCTCATGGCACCCCTCCTCTCTTCCTCCTTGCCCCCCCTGGCACCCCTCCTCTCTTCCTCCTCGCTGTCCGTAGCCGCCTTGGCCCTAGCCTCTCGCGCGCGGCGCCGGGCGCCCCCTGGCCTCGCGACGTGTCGGAGCAGGCAGCGCTGAGCAGGGCGTGGTTCGCGGGCAAGGAGGGCGGCCTCTGCGGCCGCGAGCAAGCGCGGGCGCGGGCGCTCCGCGAGGTGTGGCGCGAGGAGGGGAAGAGCGACTACGGCGCGACGTCCTTCGTGGCCAGCCGCGTGAGGAAGACGAAGGCCGGGAAGCCCTCCGGCGACCATCCTACATCGCAGTCCATGAAGGAGTTCTTCGAGCGCGTGGATGCCGACCCCGAGTGGCACCCTGGGAAATTAGCAGGGGGGGTTCCGCGGCCGGAAGCGCGTCCTGCGGGGCCCGAAGCAGACCGCCATTGTGGCGGCGGCGAAGCGTCTGAAGAAGCAAGGCGAGGAGCCCACGTACGCCGCTATCGCGGCCGCGTGCCCGACGGCTGCCCCGAACCCCGACACGGAGCAGCCCGTGGACAAGAAGGCAGTCTACATTGTCTTCCAGGTGGCTTGCTTTGATGAAGGAGCAGACGATCCATGGGGTAACAGGCCGCGCCTGTCGCGGAACGCGCTGGACGACGTGTCCAAGCGGAGGCGGTGGGATTTCGAGAAGCACGTGATATCTCTGTCGCACAGGCCGCAGTGGTACTACGGCAATCTCGCGTGGTGCGACCTCTGCAACTCTGTCCTCCCTCGGACTCAGAAGAAGGCGCAAGACATGGCGCTTGCGCGAAAGGGGAAGAAAGGATGGATGAGCAAAGGCTCTCAGGCGCAATCGCAGAACCTCCGCGGCCCAAAACACCACCTCAAGTTGAATAGCTCTGACACGGTGCGGGTGTGGTGGGCCCCGTCCTCACGCGCGGTAAGCTCCACATCGAGCCGCTGCCTGGCGATTTCCCCGGGGAGCCGAGATCATGGTGGCGAAGGTGCGATCTGCTCTGAATGTGCGTTTTCCCGGGGGCGGCCGGCAGCCTCGCGTGCTCTTCACGGACCGTGGGAACGGCTTCTACAACGCCGGCTCAGGGGCAATCACCGAGGAGTACCGCGGGGCGTTGAGGCGCCACAACCTGAGCGCATTTTTTCCTGCGGACGCTTCTGTGCAGCCCGGCCAGCTCCAGGAGGTCATGCTCCACGAGACCGCGGTGTCGTGGATGCGGGACAGGCTCACGAAAACGCTCCCGAAGCGGTGCTGGGAGGAGACCCTGGAGGCGTACCGCGCCCGGCTGAAGGCCTGCGCGGCGCAGATCAACAGCGCCTGTGACGTCGACGGCCTGTGCCGCGAGCTGCCGTCCAGGGTAAAGGACCTGGACCGCCGCCAGGGAGACCGCCTCGCCAAGTGATGCGGTTCGCTGAAAAATAGCGCGTGCCCAATTTAACGAAACTTTCGCACCTGTCTGATAGGGAGCTCCACCGAGGGCTTAATGGCTGCGTTCGCATGGCGGCACCGCACCCAGTTCGGCACACCCCTCACCCGCTTCATGGCCCCATAGGGAGCTCCACCGAGGGCTCCAGTGGCTGCGTTCGCATGGCGGCACCGCGCCCATTTCGGGACACCCCTCACACGCTTCTTGGCCCCATAGGGAGCTCCACCGAGGGCCCCGGTGGCTGCGTCCGCATGGCGGCACCGCGCCCAGTTCGGCACACCCCTCACACGTTTCGTGGCCCCATAGGGAGCTCCACCGAGGGCTCCAGCGGCTGCGTTCGCATGGCGGCACCGCACCCATTTCGGCACACCCCTCACACGTTTCGTGGCCCCATAGGGAGCTCCACCGAGGGCCCCAATGGCTGCGTTCGCATGGCGGCACCGCACCCAGTTCGGCACACCCCTCACACGTTTCGTGGCCCCTTAGGGAGTCCCTCTCATTCGTTCAAACTGCTTTGCGGTACTCGTAACTGCATATGGTTGGGTCCATCGCCAGGATAATTTTTGAGGGGAAGAAGAGGAAGGAACTGGACCGCATGCTTCAACAACCGCCGTCGCAACGCCGCGAAAGCACAGAGCGGATTATTGTTCCTAAGCATTGGGCAAATTACTGGTACAAAAGATCCCCCGTAGTGTCAGCACGCAAGAGACACCGCGAGACTGCATCGGCCACGCGGCCGGGACAGACAAGCGCTACCCGTGACAAGTATTGCCTGGGCACGTGTCCAAAACTGGCGCGACAAGGTGAAGCCTCGAATGACAACACATTCTGAGATTCGCACACAGATACCCAGGAGGAGGAGGAGGAGGAGGAGGAGGAGGAGGAGGTGGAGGAGGGAGGAAGGAGGACAGAGGAAAGGCGAGAGGGACAGACACAGGCGCCAACAAAGTGTTGCTCTTTCCTTCCTCCCAGCGGGGAGCGGAGGAGAGAAGGACAGGCAAAAACTTGTCGCGGCGGATGTTGCTGATTGCCCTGCTGCCTCTACGCCGAATGGATTGTTTGATGCGAACAACCACCCTCTGCAGCAGTGGTGATGTGCCGGAGGGGGAGGGGACGAGAGGGAGGAGGAGGGGCGACAGAGGAGGAGGAGGAGGGAGCCAAGCTCGTGAGTGCGTAAACCAGCTGAAGCTTCGCCCAGGGCGCGCACACATAGGTCCCAAACGAGCGGAGGGAGGGGAAGCAGAAAGAATGCAAGGAGAGGCAACAGTGACTGCAATGGAATTCAGTGTTAGGGGTGGAGCCATGGCGTCCACCGCAAAGCCGGTCCGAGACCTACCGTGCAGGGGCGGAGCGGGCTGAGGGCGCACGCCGTTCGGGCAGGCAGTCAAGCAAAAAACAAAGAGTGGAGAGAGGGCAACAGGAAGACGACAAGCGCCGACTGCCTAAGGAACTACGCGCCTGCCCCAGACCTACCAGGAAGAACAAACTCGCCTAACAATAAAAACGTCGCAACGTCGTCGGCGCGGGAATCGGAGAGTTGGTCGGCGCGGGAGTCGGCGAGCTGCTCGGCGCGGGAGTCGGAAAGCTGGTCGGCGCGGGAATCGGCGGAACCCGGATACCGCCGCACACGCCGATCGGACACCGAATCGACCGACCCGAATGCCGCCACACACGCCCGGAGGCCAATCTACATTGTTTACGTGTGTCGTGGCATGCCAAGTACAGAAGATAGATGATACTCCCAAAATACGTGGTAAAGATAACGGACAAGAGGAATATGACGAACTGATCCAGAAGCGGGATGGCACCGATCATGACGAAGGTGGTCTCGGTCGTGCCCAGGAGCTGGAGGCAGGAGTCGGCGAGCCACTCGGTGTGGGAGTCGGCGAGCTGGGCGGTGCGAGAGTCGGTAAGCTGGTCCGTGCGGGCGTCGGTGAGCTGGATGGTACGGGAGTCGGTGGACTGGCCGGCGCGGGAGTCAGCAAGTTGGTCGGTTCGGGAGTCGGTGAGCTGGTCGGCGCGGGAGTCGGAAAAACCCGGATGCCGCCACAGACGCCGATTGGGCACCGAATCAACCGACCCGGATGCCGCCACACACGCCCGGAGACCAATCTACATTGTTGCCGCGTGCCGTGCCATGCCAAATACGAAAGATACCTGAGAGTTCCAAAATACGCGGTGAAGGTAACGGTCAAGAGGAATATGACGGACTGATCCAGAAGCGGCATGGCACCGATCATGACGTAGGTGGTCTCGGTCGCGCCCAGGAGCTGGAATCAGGAGTCGGCGACAACGTGTAGGAGAGCAGGGGAGCAGGGGAGAAAGAGGAGACAGGGGATAACGTGCAGGAGACAAGGTGCAGGAGAGCAGGGGAGGACGAGGAGAGAAGGGAGGGAAGGTAGACAACTCGTAGAATGAGGGTAGCGTGGGAATTTCGAATGGCATTGTTGCTGCAACTGTCAGGTGTGTTGGCTGACTGGCTGACTGGCTAACTCGCTTGCTCGCTGGCTTGCCCCATGCCAGCACAAACGGCAGCATAAAGTTCAGCACGCTTCCTAAGAGATTCTTCTCCTCGACCGACACGTTCGGGTTGTTTTTCGCGAGTATGGCGCGCCCGAAGTCCTGGTGGTCGAAGTCGCAGTTGTGGTCCTCGGCGAGAGGGGCGACATGGAGCGGACAAGCGTGAGAACACAAGGACGCTGGGCTGTCAGAGGGCAGAGGACAAAAGAACAAGGGCGAGGGCATAGGGCATATAACTATATAAACATAGGTGGAGAGAGAGAGAGAGAGAGAAAACAAAAAAGAGAGAGAGAGAGAGAGAGATAGAGAGAACAAACAAAAAAAGGAGCGTGGGCAGGGGCAGACGCGGAGAGACATGCCAGGCGCGGGGCGCAAGGGTAGGTGCAGGAGCAGGAGGCAGGGGCAGGGGTAGGGGGTAGGGGGCAGGGGTCTTGGGGCCAGGGGCAGGAGGGCAGGAGCAGGGCACTTCGCCCCGAGAAAACATGAAAGGGCGCCAAAATGCACCCAAAAACCGATGACGGGGATCCACACTGCCCCCGAACGACCCCGGGACCCGGAGGTGGCCCTTCGACGACGAAAACCACGAACGAACTGAAAAGACTAAGACTCTGCGACAAAAGCTTCTCTTTTCCCTACGCAGAAATCGTTCACCATGGGCCCCCCGGACCCTTCCCAAAATCCAGTCGCCATCGTTTTCCCAAATGCATCCAGCCGCGGCGACAGGGGAGTGGCCCGGAACCCCCCAAACACAACAAACCTCCAGAGTCCGACGGGCTACTTCGCACAAATTCGTTCCCCGAACCTCTCCCCGGGTCAGCCGATGCAATTTCTCGCCCCAGGTCCGTCCGGTTTGAAAGTCCCGGGGCCCAGCAACGGCCCCCAGAGACTGAAACCTATCAAAACAAAAGGTGTTCAAACAACAAGTTCTGGAAAGGCGGCGGGAACAGCAGCGGGCATCTACCTCGATCGAGAGGAAGAAAAAGAGAAGGACGATGAGGAGGAAGAGGAGGAGGAAGAGGGGACAAAAATTATGTCGTCGTCGCCGCCGATGTCTCACAAATGTTCGTGGTCTTTCGACCACTCGAATTCAGCCTCCGGGAACCGTTTTCGGTGCCCGAGACCACCACCGAGGGAGGGTCCGGGATGAGGATCGACCTCCCTGGCCGGTGCTACCCCTTCGCAAAGGAAGGAACACGGGGTGGATCGAGGCTCACGGCATGAGACTCCTAATTCTTGGGCGGTCTCCGCCCCCTCTGGGCCTTCAGGAAGCTCCTCGTCGACACAGCTGGGTCCACTCTCGAACTTCAGGCCGGACGCACCCCCAGGTGGGTCTCAACGATCCCCGAGCCTATCCAGGGGGTGGAAAAGGAAGCCTGGGACAGGCCCCGCGAGGGCCCCAAGAGTCCCACATAAGACCACGAAAATCTTCAAAACAATCCCCTACAAGACCCCCCCGTGAACCCCACACGCTACGTAAGACAGGCCGAAACCCCAAGATTGCCCAGCGATCGCGCGCGTTCCGCGAACTCCGTCTTTGGCTCGTGCTGCCGCCCCAAGGGGTCGGCGGTGCAGCGTAAGCCAATGAATCACAAAGAAAATGCTGGCACATCGGGATGCTGGGAGGAGGGCACATGGGCGACAGAAGGAACGGGTCTTACGCGAAATGGCAGAGCGACCTTACGCGGTAGTTTGCGCGGGCCGCCAGCGCGGCACGCCACATTGGAGACGAGCCCGCTCATGCGCGACCTTGCGCGGGCAGCTTACGCACCGATGTCGGTGAAGACGATCCCGTTTTTTGGCGTCACTCACATGTCGGGTTGACACAAAAGGGGGTCCAGGGGCTGGTGGAATAGATCTGGAGCAATAGAACTGTGGGGTTCCAATACATTTGGGGCGTGCGTGCAATACTTTCCAGGGCGCAAATGTATTGCTGGATTTTCGCGTGCAATGCATTACGTCCTTGCAATACAATGCAAGACAATTCTCCGCAATACAATGCAATACAATTCTCTGGCGCAATACATTTGCAATACAATTGTCCCAAATCCATTGCACCACCCCCTTGCAGCTGGACCACCTTTTGGGTCGACCCAAAGATGGCACCAGGATCTGCCCATGGACGCCAGAAGTCGGGGGCACAAGCTGGTCTCCGGCCGCTCAGGGGGGCTCTCCTCTGCGTGCCGGTGCTTGGCACAGAAGGCGTAGCCACATCTGGCGAGGCGTGCGCGAGAGGACAGAGTCTGTACGCTCCTCCCTCCTCCTCTTTCCTCCTTCTCCTCCCTCCTCCCCCCTCCTCCCTCTTCCGTCTTCCCCCTCCCTCCTCCCTGCTCCTCCCTCCTCCCTCCTCCCTCCTCCCCCTCCTCCCTCCTCCCTCCTCCCTCCTCCCTCCTCCCTCCGTCTCCTCTTCCTCGTCCTGGTCTTGCCTGCCAGCAGCTTCGCGCGGCGTCCCCGACCTCTCCGCCGCAAACTCCCAGCTGGCTGTTCGGAGCGAGGGAAGGAGGGAGGGGAGGGGAGGAGGGAGGGAAGGAGAGGGGGGGGGAGGGACGGAGGGGGCAGGACAGAGGAGCGAGGGACAGAGGCGAGAGAGAGGGACAGAGGATCTTCGCAGGGCGGGGGGAGGAGGAGGCAAAGACGGCGGAGCGAGAGAAAGGCGCACTCAGGGGCCATCGGCATTCACAACGGAGGAGGGGAGGAGGGCGAACAGAGGACGCCAGGAGGGCGCAACTTACAAGGGGGCACAGATCATTCTGGAAACGGCACACGCAAACTGACAGTCGCAACGCCAAGGGAGTTGTCGACCTGTGGAGAAAGCTTCCAGGGCCCCCCCCTACCATACCAAGGCACCACGAAGGGTGCCTCCATCCCACCTCATCCTTCCATCCTCGTTCCTCCTCCTCCTCCTCCTCCTTCTATTCCTCCTCCTCATCCTCCTCCTTCTATTCCTCCTCCTCGTCCTCCTCCTTCTATTCCTCCTTCTCCTCATCCTCCTGCTCCTCCTCCCCCTCCTCCTCCTCCTCCTCCTCCTCCTCCTCCTCCTCCTCCTCCTCCTCCCCTCGTCCTGGCCCTCCTGCTCCCTCGGACCTAGCTCCCGGTGGAGCTGGCCTCCCGGCCTGGCTGGGAGACGGCACCCTCCAAGACCTGGGACCTGGGCCCCCGCGAGGCCTGCACCACATACGCAGAAGGCATCTGTACACCTCCACCGTGGCAAGCCAGGGCCATCCTGGCCCTGGCATGGTGTATACGCCCTCCTGGCCGAGGCCTGGAGGGTCTATACACCATCCCAGGGCCCAGGATGGCCCTGGCCTGGCACGGTGGTGGTGTATAGATGCCTTCGTCGGACCGCACCACCGGTCCGAGGTCCTCTTCGCTCCACCTCCGGGGACGAATCGGCGCACAGTCCGACCCGTCGTCTCCTCCTCGAGCGGCGGGTCGGCGCATGCACCAGTTCGTCCAAAGGTTGGGGGGGAAACTCGGAGCGGTGGTTCGACTCGAATTCCCGGGAGAAGGGGAGGAGAGTCGTGAAGTACGAGTAAGTCACGAAATTGTGAAGAAGATCGACCGTTGATCTCGACCCCGTCATCACCTGCACTATTGAAGCGGGGTCGATCCTTGAAAGTGCTGGGGCCCAGAAAGGGACGGAACAGAGCCCGTCGTGATGTGTGCCGCGACTCCCGACTGTGAGGGTCCCCTCTCCTAGAGGGTGGAAGTAACACCACCACTATCACCAAGTCTTCAGCCCGGGCTCAAATCGGGCTTGTGGAGGCTCGGGGGTGGCACGAGAGTAAAGAAGGATGGAGAAGCGGGAGAAGCAAGGGAGGAAGGAGGAATAGGACGACGAGGAGAAGGAGCTGGAGGACGAGCGGGAGAAGCAGGAGGATGAGGAGAACTAGGGCAGGACAAACACGAGGAGGACGACCACCCACGGCGGCGATGATGGCAGCGAAGAGAATGAGGACGAAGAGGACGAAGCCTGCGAGCGGCAAAGCGACAACCTCTCCGCCCCGCACTCGACGGCGCCCCCCGCCCCCTCTGCCCCTGACCGCCCCCTTCCGCTTCCCCCCCGCCAGCCCTCCCCCCGCGCACCGCTGCCCGCCGCCGACGACCCGTCACCGCCGCCGACAATGACCCCCTTCCCTCCCAACGTTCGCCTGCTTGCCTGCTTCGTCCCCCCTCCTGGTCTCCCTGTCCGCGTCCATTCGCCGCTCTGTCTTCATCATCGTCCTTCTCCTCCTCCTCCTCCTCCTCCTCCTCCCCCTCCTCCTCATCCCCCTTCCACGCCCTGCAGGCTCTGTGATGTGTCGGCCAGGTGACCTCGCCTGGCGTAGCAGTTCGCAGTGATCCTACGTGGCAGGGGCTAGCCTCGTTGAAAGGGCTCGCCTTGCCAGGGCGGTTCTTGGCACCCAGGCCGCCCAAGGAGGAGGAGGAGGAACAGGGATAGAAGGACAACGAGAAAAAGGAGCATGATCACACGCAAGCGAAACAGTGGAATAGCGGCTGAATGTAAAAAGTGTAGACAGGCCGGCCTGCAAGTGAACCCGGTGAGCCCGATCTTTTTGGCGCAAGACCAACACTTCGTCACGTCCTCCTGCACCGGTCTCTTCGGCTTCTCCTCGTCGGCACCTAAGGGGCACCCGTCCCCCTTACTCTCCCGTGCTCCCGCCTCCCTTCCCCTCCCCTCCCCTTCCCCCTGATGGACGGAGGTTAGGTTCACGCCTGAGACGGAGAGGGCCCACTCTAGCAGACATTGGGCAACCGCGGATTGCCTGACGGCAATGTCCGCAAATCCAAGGCATTGCCACACGACGCTCCTCCTGCTGTAACGCAAACCGACGCACCGCCTCTTATTGCATGGTGGCCAAGTCGCGGCCCGGCGCGCGGTGCAAAACAGTCACGCGTTCAAATTGCACCTCCAGCCTCCTCTTATGCCCTCTTTCACCCCACAGAGGAGAGCAGCCACAGTCACGACGCGTTCACAACACGTCTACGACGACGACGACGATGACGGCGACGACGACGATGACGACAGCAGCGCCGACGACGGCGACGAAGACGGCGACGATGACGACGGCGCCCCGAGGGCGACGATGACGGCGACGACGACGATGACGACAGCAGCGCCGACGGCGACGCAGACGACGATGGCGACGGCAACGGCGACGCCAACGCCGAAGCCGACAAAAAAGACGTGTAAATTCTGGCAGCGCGGGCGACAGAAAGTTCGAGAGGTCGGATGGAAGCGAGAGCGAGGTCGCTGCGGGGGGGCTTTACGTTAGATTAAGGAATGACGCCCACAAGAATCCCCACACAGTGCCCGAGAAGCCCGCGTCGCCTCGACCGTGGACGCCACGCCTCTTCTGGGGGACGGCTGAATGGCGCAGACCTCTTGAACAGGACTCAGGAACTACTGGGTAAGAACTCCCGCCTCGTTTCTTTGGTGGACTCTGCCCGAGTCGGCACCGTGCCACATTTGGATTAGGTCGGGCATGTCCTCCTACAGGCGGATTTTGGACGAAAAAGTATAAAGTAGTCAAACAAAAAAAAAGCATCCAAAAATACTAGAAAAATCGTCTCCGGACGATTTTGTGATTACTTTTAGAGGCCCGACTTAACATTTGGAGAGGGGGTGCACCAACATCGTAAGGGTTTGGCCAGATCTGCCCAGGCGCAAGGCTGTCTGCGTGCCTGCTCAGGTGCCAGAGCGGCCACCTTGAGGGTAGACGGAGAATCGAGCGCAGGCTCAGCCAAACGCCGTATGAGAAATCTCAACATCTTATTTCCACAGGCGTCAGCTCTGGCGACACGTGATAAGCAACGATAACACCGATCGGCAGTACTTGCATGAGGCGGGGATGGGGGAGGAGGAGGAGGAGGAGGAGGAGGAGGAGGAGGAGAAGGAGGAGAGCAGGAAGGGGCAGGGGGAGGAAAAACACATGTTCTGAATCAGGATACCCTGCGAGAGACACATACAAGAAAGACTCCGAGGACTCAGGATACCAGGGCAACAAGTACATCTGACCTGCATCTGCATGAAGCTCAGTGTACCAGGTTTGCCCAGAGAGGGCAGAAATCCCATCAAGATTTCATATGGATCGACGGGCGCCGAAAATAGCCCTGTCCCCCATGAATGAAGCGTTTCGGTGGTATTGTCCAACGACCGTTGGGATCGTTCGGTTCCGACTGCAACTGTGGCATGATGATCCTTCTCCGCCCGCGTTGGACCCCGGAGGCTTTTGCACAACTACCCATGTACGGCATGGCCACTGCACGGTCACTGCGCGGTCAGGTCAAACATTGGATCGACGACAGTGGCGACGGAGGCAGGGACGGCTGTCGCGGGCCCGACACCATCCTTCGTCGAGGTATCGCTACAGAGTCTACAAATAGCGGGCCTTACCATGTCCTTCGGACTGCGAATGTGAAACTATCAACCGTGAAGACGGCAACTACAGACCAGCACTGATCCTGGCCGGGCAAATCATGCACCCAAGATCGGTGCACCCGCCCAACAGGACTGGCCTGACCAGAATTGGCATAAGTAGGTGCAAAAATTGGCGCCCTCCGACCCCACTCCTATCCAAGGTCGTTGTCGCTGTGGGAGGCTGCTGACGTGAGGTCTGCACACACACGGTCGCTTAGTGAGGAAGTGGTATGTATGGCGGGGGGGGGGGGCAAGGGGCCTGTCGTCAGTCCGCGGCGCCAAGGTTGCCGATGGACGCTGGGGCATCCACCCTTGCCCTCTTCGCTCGCCTTGGCATCCTCCTTGGACTTCGCCTCCACCTCCTCCTTCTCTTTCTTGGCCTTGTCCTCCTTGTCCTTCTCGGCCTGCAGGAGGGGAGAGAGAGGAGGGAGTGCCACCCAAGAGAGCAAACTTCCGAGGGGATGACATGCGCTGGGAGTTCGACCGAGATTTGCACAAGGCCTGCCTCATGTGGGGTGTGGACCAGATCTCAAAATCATAGTCCTCCCAAATGGGGTCCGAGTAGATGAAGTCGAAGGATCGCCCTGCACCAACGACGTCGGCGATGCATCGGCGCCGTCGGCGTGGAGAAAATCGGGCTCCGCATCGAGCAGCGTCGGCGATGCTCGGCGATGCTGCGAGATCTTCGGACCCCCTGTAGGGAGGAGGCCTGGACTCCCTGTAGGGAGGAGGCGCAAGTCGGGCTCCGCATCAGCCTGGAATCCCTGTAGGGAGGAGGCCTGGATCACCCGGGGCGTGGATCCAGAGCTCACGCAGAGCCTGCCGCCCATAGAGAAACGACCCCATGATGCCCCATGGCTCGGGGGCGTCCAAGAGGGGGGCATCCGAGAGGGGGGGTCGCAAAACATGGCCCAAAGCATGCGCGCGGCCCAGGGGGGGGACCAGAAAACGTATATACCGAAAGAAGAGCGGGCCATGATATCCGGAGAGAATTGTTGGCCCTGGCCATGATATTCATCCCCCCTATTCATCATCGTCCTCTCGGCCATCCCCGCCTGATACCCCATCGCTGGACCTGGCGACCAACAAAGCGGGCGGGACTGGGATGCGTGGCCCGGCACGACGGCACCGCCACTGCCAGCCACCCGCTCGCCGCCCGCCTCGGCCTGCGGTAGCGGTCTCCTCTCCATGTGGCGACTTTGCTTCATGGCAGATGGTCCTCCAGGAAACATCAGATACGGTCCGAACTTTTGCTTAGCGTGCCGCCACGGCGGCAAGGCCCGCAACAAACAGGTCGCAGCGCCCTGTCGATGACTGGGAGAGGGCAATGCGCTTGTCGACTTGGCAGGGTGGGGGGCGCTAGCAACCTTCGAGAGTTCTGGGCAGGAGCAGATTGGGGGGGAAGGGGGAGGGGCAAGGCCACCAGGCACGAGACGCCGGGCCGCCCGTCTGCCAAGGCCCAGGGCGGCGCCCCGCCTGGTGCTTCTTGTTGTAGCACTTGGAGCACATGTTCTCCTCGCCGAGCGGGTGGAGCAAGAGGGGGTGGACGCGGGAGGCGGGGGGGGGGAAGGGGGGAAAGCGGCGAGGGAGGAGCCCAGTCTGGTCGGGCCCGGTCCAATCCAGGAGGTCGAGCCGGGAGGAAAGCAGCCGCCTTGCTGCTGCCTCACGACTTCTGAGCGTCGAGTCTGCTACAGCCGGGGGGGGGAGAGGACGTTCGGAAGTCCTCGCCCCCTTCCCCTCACCTTGGCATCCTCGCCTCCGCCCTGGTCTCACCAACCCCGCGGCCATGCGATCTGGGCGCCGCTCTCCGTGTCCGCCTGCCCTGCGCCGGACTGGCGCTGCTGGCTCCGCCGCAGCAGCGCCCCGCGACGGCGGGCGCGCGGGCCACGGGCCACGGGCCGGCGCTGCAAGCGGCGCGCGGACATGAGGGGCAACGATAAGGGGGACTGGCATAGGGGGGGATACTTCGCCGACTGATCGGCGATGGGCACCCGACAGTGAATCCGCCCCTTCCTGTGCAGGTTGGGGCTATCGGCCCCCCATCGGCGATCAATGGGCGAGCGGGGGTCGGTGCATCCCCCCCCGTGCCCATCTCCCCCCTATCGTTGCCCCCGAGGACACGCAGTCGCTGGGCTGGCGCGGCGGAACAGAGCGGTTCAGGCGCGGCGCACGACGACAGCCCTCGCCCGCGCCAGGCCGCCCACGGGTCCCCCGGTCGGGGAGCAGGGTGCGGCGGACGGGGCCGCGGGCAGAGCTCGGGGCCCGAGCGGCCACTCGTCGAACTGGCCAGGGCGAGCGAGAAGGCCCAGCTCGCCAAGAAGTCGGCGGCGCGCAGGAGGGGGGTAGGGGGAGGGGGGGAAGGTTTCTTGGAAGGGGGCTGCTCCTCAGAAGATGCGGGCCTTATATATATATATATATATATATATATATATAATATATATATATATAAATAAAAAGAGAGAGAGAGAGAGAGAGAGAGAACAAAAAAAAAGAGAGAGAGAGAGAGAGAGAGAGAGAGAGAGAGACGGCGCGGCCTTCTGAAAAGCAGCCTCCTTCTGAAAAGCCTTCCCCCCTCCCCCCACCCCCCCTCTGCGCGTGGCCGAAGGAGGGCTTCTGCAGCCTGAGCCGAAAACATGAGTGTAGATGTGCATGCTGGCAAGCCTGCCAGGCACAGCGCGGACCAGCCGAAGCACGCCCGGCTGGAAGAGCGGCGCCCACGCTTGAATTACCAAGGACAACCTGGACGAGCCAGCTTTAGGATAGACTCCGAAACCGAACGGAGGAGGAAGCTACGCACTGATCTTGGCATGTCTGAACCCGTTGTAGCCCAAGTACGACATCTCCGCTTCCAGATTACGGAACTGGAGACCGACAAGCGGAAGCAGTCCAAGGCGCTTGCTGCGGCCAAGATGCAGTTAGCCTTGGTGCGCAAGGCGCCACCCTGCTCCTCTCCCTCCTCCTCCTCCTCCTCCCTCCTCCTCCCTCCTGCTCCCTCCTCCGTTTTTCTCCCGCCTCTTCATCCTCCTCCTCCGCCACCGCCGCCTCCTCCTCATCATCCTCGTCATTATCCTCCGCCCTTCTTCCTTTCTAATAACTCCCCCCTGTCGCACTACCAGACATGTCGTGAGAGCGGGCCAAGCGTTTAGCGTGAAATTTCTCCACGGCTCACGACCGTGAAGGTACACGGATGGAGGGCGATTCGTTGTGGCGCCGTGCTAAGTCGACTTGAATTTACAAATGACTGCACGGATGGAGGACGGGCGGCTTTCAACATGGGGCTGGCGCTGCGAACGCTCGTCTTGAAGCATTCCAGCAACCTCACGGATGGAGGGCGGCTAGGTTTCAAAAGTGGGCTTCTGCTATGGCGCCATGCACATTCGTCACGAAATCGCGAACAGCTGCCAGGATGGAGGGCGTGGTGTTCAGACTGAGGCTCTCGCCTTGGCGCCACGCACACTCATCTTAGAACGCCCGAGCGGCCCCATGAATGATGTGCGAATATTTCTCAGATTGGGATTTGGCGCTTTGGCGCAGCATGCACCCATTCCCGATTTGCGCGCAGCTACACGGATGGAGGGCGGATGGTTTTCACAATTGAGCTCTCGCCTCTGTGCCGCACACACAGAGACACACAGACGCACGCACGAACGCACGCACAAGCGTGCTCACACGCTCCCTCTCTCTCTCTCACCCACTCACACACACACGCGCATACGCACACGCACACGCACACGCACACAAGCCTGCACGCACGCACAGACGCACGCACGCACACACGCACGCACGCACGCACACACGCGCGCACGCACGCACGCACGCACACACACACACACACACACACACACACACACACACACACACACACACACACACACACACACACACACACACGCACGCGCGCGCGCGCACGCGCACGCGCGCACACACACACACACACACCCGCACACACACACACACACATGCACAAGCACACGCACACACACACACACACACACTTGCTTTAAGTCAGCGCGGCAAAAGGTCCTCAGGCGCGGGCAGCAGATGGAAGTGTCAATTGCGGTGGACCGTAGTCGACAGCACAGCGAACGAGACGTCGAGCAATGGAATGCACATGCACAACTACACACGCTCACACGTCTTAGCATGTAACACGATTAGTGTAATGGAATGCGGATATGTTTCAAAGGTGGCATCCCGAAATGGCACCGCGCACACTTTTCTTCATAGAAGCCCTATCGGTTACGGCGATAGAGGGCGACTCCTTTTTCAAAACGGGATCCTCATGTGAGAGACTTCCTCGAACGCGTCTTACACCAAAACGCATTTCTTTGAGTTTTACGATCCGCGCTTGTCTTTGCGCTACGAAGAACGACCCTCGCCGAGGGTGAACTCTGGCGCGCGGCTTAAGGGGAACGCGGGCAGGAAAAATCCAAGCGCGAGAGCGAATGCTGAGGAGACCCCTGTGTGCCCGCACCAAAGGTCACTCCGGCGAAGGGTCAATCTTACGCGCAACCGATTGTCGCACTTCTTACACTTCCAAGGATGGAAAGCAGCTTCTGTCGAAGGGCAGCTCAACACTAACTTGCGGGCAGAGTGGGGCACCCGTCTGTCGACAGAGGGGGGTCTCGCGGAGTGATAACGAGCATGCCCTACGAGAGCGGTAGGCTGATGCACCGCACCATGCTCGGAGGCGACGCAAAGGGCGAGTAGCCCAGGAGGGAGCAACACAGTCAAGTCGCATAAAAAAGATGCCCGATAAGGGCACAATGGCCTTGGAAGGCCACGTTGCCACGTTTGTATTGTCAAACGTTGAACGGGGCTGGCCAGCGAAAGTCGCCAAGGATGGACCGAAGGAGCAAGAATGCAAGGGTAGCCTTGGAAACTGCTCATCTTTACTATGCGACTTGGCTGCACATCCCTGGTCCCAGGGCGCCTGTGTTCCGTGTCTTCGGCGAAGCTCCCCGGCGAATGCGCGTCATGCCCGCCCGTGGTAGATTCGCCACTCTCGTCGCCTCCGACATGTCGGGACTCCGTTCAGGCCCCGCTCCAACGCGGTACGATGCATTGTTTATTGTTCCTTGCAGCTTTAGGCAGAGTTGAACAGCTGAACGCAGGACCTTCTTCTGGGCCCTTTGCACTTGGGCAAGCTTCGAAGAGCCAGGTGGCAAACGCTGCTGCACTTTACTCAATTGGCGTTTGCCAAATTGATTCAGCTGGAAGTGCATATTTCCGCTAACTTCCTGACAGCTTGGGTGGCCACACAGCCACAATACAGACAAACCGTGCTCCCGAACTCCTTGTGATATGCCAAGGTGTGGGAGCTATGCAAGTCAATGCCATTAACTGTGCGCTTCGTGGGCACCAAAAGCAGAACCTGAAATAATCCCTGGTGGCAAGGGGTCGCTAAAACTTATCCGCCAACTTGTATGGCGCACAACCTCCGCAGCAATGACAGCGGACCTGGGAACCTATCCCCCACACAAGCTGCTGAGCAGTCAGCAAGTAGTTGGATCTTGATATCACGCCTCTTGGGCTTCAAAGACGACTCTCTGGGCGCTCGATGCCCGTCCGCTTCAATCGATGCCAACAGACTGTGACCGAGGTGCTGGCGAATCTGGAAAGCAATCGCTTGGGCATGGGACCTGCTGTCCCTAGCAGCAGCAGAAACACGAATAGTACCTGCCTAATGGTTTGCTATTCGGTCAGCTAAATCATGCAAAAGACAAAACTAAGGGGTCGGTGCCCAGGTCGCTGATGTTTTCTACCTTCCTGTGGCTCTCTACTTTGGTTGGCACAAATCCCTTCGACGAGTGCTGTGCTGGGTCAATACGTCTTTGACACTTTGTCACACATCTAGGTGAGACTTCAGAACAAAACAACCGAGCCGAACTTTATTGTAATTCTTCACAACTGACGTGGATCATGTCACAAAGAAGCCGTCTGCAACAGGGAAGACAGCTTTCAAGAACTGCAGGAAACTGAACCCTTCCCCCATGTTGACCGACTGGCGCCATCCATGCACATTCCCAAAGCTCACTGCGTGGGCCTGGAGCTCTCTGGGACCAGACTGTCCTCCAGCTCGGAGGCCCTTAAACACAACCAGTGACTAGGCAATCCTACGGAGGGCGGGGTCCTGTGTCTGGCCCCCCACTAGCGCCGTCCCCTCCAAACACAAAGCCGTCCACCATAGCCTCACTCAGGTCCCCCCCATAGGTCTGGAAATCCTCACCTTGGAAGGGAGGGGGCACGGCGGTCCAGCTGCTTGACGTCAGCCATCGCAGCCAGAAGCTTGGATTACTCTAATCCGCTAGGGCTCGCCTTCTCACGAAGTCCGAGACCTTGGAAAGTCACTATTCTTCGGACAGTTCCAAGCACGGTGCACGTCACACTCCACCAACTCCCACATCTCTTACAGGAGCTGTCCTGGGTGAGACCACATTCTTGGAGCCTCGCGGGTGGCCAGCTAATCCCCGTAGCCACAGCCCGCAAGTTCCCTCTCCATTCGTGCTTACCCTTCTTGGCCAGCGACCTCATCTGAAATTTGAAATCGTACAAGTCTGGTACTAGCTCTAAGCCTGACCCGTTCCACGAGTTGGCTGCAGCAACTTCCCAGAGTTGGCGTTCCTTGCTTTGGGCCGGAGCCTCGAAAAGATCGGCGAGGTCAACCGTGCCTCGCCCGAGCTTGGTTTCTGAGATCGCGAACCGCTCACCCAGGCCACTCTCCCAAGCCCAGGGTCCCCCAGGCTTCCAACCCACATCCAGCAGAGCGTCGACGACGCATCGGGAGACGCTGACGCGGCACGGTGCACGCAAGTCGTCCGCGGATGCTTGCAGAGACTGGTGAGGCGGGGGACTCAGCACGAGAGGGCGCGCTGCAGCATAGCTCACACATCTCCTGGGACTAGTCCGGCGCCCCTGGTGGCTTTCGGGTCATAACTCGACTCTCAGGCGGCTGTTCGGGAAAATCCGGGCACCCCTGGAACGCTCTCGGCGAGGCGCAGCCGCTAGAAGGCAAAGCGAGGCCGGACAGCCTCCGAGAACCGACTGAGGCAAGGTCCGGTCGCGCGCGGAGGCCGCACACGCCCCACAAGTGGAGACGGCGTTGGAAAACATGCAGTGAACACACACACACACACACCTCTGAACCGACGACAACGTTCAGAACCTCGAAAGATCCCCCTCCCCCCACCCCTGACGCTGCTCCTGATCTTGGAAGGGCCCCCCCCCCCCGCCTCCCCCAAAAGAGGGGGGGGCACGGCGGCGCAGGGCGCCATGGCAGCCGTGCCGAAGAAGCCGCACCCGCCGACGCAGGGCACCGTGACGGCAGGCGCCTGACGGGGCCCCGCCCCGTCTCGCGCCGTCTCCCGTGCCCCGTCTGCACGACGCGTGCCGGCCGTGCCCCACATCCTCGCCTGGGTGGAACGGGGGCTTGAGAGAAGGACGAGGGAAAGGCTCGGCCAGGCAAAACTCGGCCAGCCAGGCGAGGTCAGCTGGCCGAGCTCAGCCTGGCCAAGCTTATCCTGGCCGAGCGTAGTGGGGGTAAGGCAGGGGCGGGGGTTGGGGGATGGGGGGAGGTGGGGAGGGGACGAAGGGGGGGAGGGGCGGGGGGGGCGAGGGGGGCAGAGGGGGGAGGGGGGAGGCGAAACTTGCTGCGTCGTGGATCACATGCTTGCACCCTGAAGGTATTGAGGAGGAGGGAGGAGTAAGGCTGAGAGAGGAGGAGAGGGGGGGAAGAGGGAGGGAGGATGAGGATGGATGATGGATCAGGGAGGCAAAGGAAGAAAGAGGAGGAGAAGAGGTTCGAGGTTTCGAGGTTCGAGGATCGAGGCTTCAAGATGGAAGTAGGCATGATAGCTGCCATACCCCTGACTCCACCAATTAATATGCAGCTCCGGCGCATCGTTTCCATGCGCAATGGTGAATTCTTGAAAATGCGAGGCGCGCAAGGCCCGGCATGCGCGCGCCCTCTGCGAGTACGACTCTCGCCAGAGGAAAGCTGGTGGCCATTCGTGTGCAACTCCTCAAAATTAGCGACCCAACGCGCACGCTGGCCCCCCAGACCCGCAGCCGCCACGGCCCCCCCCCCCCCAAAAAAAGGCGCCCCAATAAAGCCGGCAGGTTGAACAGGCACGCGCAAGGGCGGACACGATTGCGAAAATCTAATTCACCGCCCAGGAATAATGCCAGGCCATCGTCCTGAGAAGGTTGAACAGGGCCAGATGAGTGCATCTCCTTTGCCCGTAGTTTCACAAAACTCGCCATATGGATCACGCGCTGGAGGGCCTTCCCCCTCGCATTCGTCCTCAGAGGACACCTCTCCCAGGTCGGCGAAACCCATCTAGGGGGGGGGGCGCCAGGAGCAGGCGTTTTGAAGGTGATCTCGGCATCCTTCCTCGCCTGCTCCAAAGACTCCGACTTCTTCTTGCATCTGGTTTGCCCGGGCCTCTTGCCATTCGGACCGGGCTTTCTCGGCGGCAACGGCTGGTGCTGAAAAGGCCGGGCAAGGAAGAAGACAAAGCCATGGCAAGCTCAGCCTTCGCTTTGCTCTCGACGACGAGGCCGGCACGCGCCTTGCCCGCGACCGCGCCGCCTGCCGCGACGACGTCGGCGCCCGCCGCGACAGGCTGAATCGACGACCTGGCGCGCGGGGAAGCAATGCCATAAGCAATCATGGATCCTGAGCCCAACGCGCAAGTGCATCGGTCATTCGCGGGGGCCATCGGAACTCCACCTATTATGGCGGGCCATTCTGATTTCATGAGCTTCGAAGGTGTCACGTTCCAACATCCAAGGATCGCCCGCGGGATGTCGAGACTCTGAATGACCCCCAAGCAATGCTAGCTTCTGCAAGTTGACTCCTCTCAGGCCGATCGAGGTCGTCAATCAACTGCTACCAAACAAATGGCGGCGCCGCTGCCATGTCAAACATTGGGAACGAAGCCGAAGAAATCCAAGTTCCCTCTGGCAATGACGCCCCCCACGCCGACTTCCTGCGCTGCGTTGGAAGGCAAGTGCCGACGAGAGGTAGTAGGCAGACTGCTGCGCAATCCTGCCACCACGCCCCCTGATTTCTTGGTCGCACTCGTGAGCGGCGAAGGCGCACGAGTGGCTGCGTGCCCGCTGCGCCCAACAATTCCGAAGGAGCTCGCCCGCACCTTCCTCGTCGGCGCGGGCCCCCATCAACACGGCTCCGCCGCGTTTCCGCCCCTCTGCGAAACCGCGAGCAGCTGGGCGCCACGCGGAGAGGTCACGCACGTAGGTCTCCCATTCTTTTTCCAGTCCAAGATGCACGGATCCGACAATCGGCAGCTCCTTAGACTTCTCTGTCTGAAACAGTGCGTCGAAATATTTCGGGCGTCGCTTCCCGCCGCAAGTAGGTTGCGCCAGAGTGCCCCCGCGAACTCGACCTCGCAGCGTCGTCGGCGCGCGCTCCGGGCCCTCCGGCGACCCCCCGGCCGGGGGTCATCCCAGCGAAACTCTGCGACAGCGGCAGCGCCCCCAAGGGCGGCGGCCGTCCGTCCGCAGGGGGCTCGCTCCAGGAAGGGGCCCCCTCCTCCCCTGGGCCTGGGCGCCCCGCACTACTCGTCAAAGTCGCCAACAGCACTGGGCTGCCCACGGCGCCGAGCTCGCGCCGGCCCCGCGGCTTCCTCCTGGCACCCTGAACGTCCGACTCGTCTCATCTTGGCAACCAGCCTCTACGCGCGCCGAGCATGAGCTTCACCTCGCGCATCTGCTTTGCCCATAGCTCCCCGGAAGGAGTCCTGCAGATGTCCCGGCATCTAAGAAGCCGCGTCCGTCATTTTCTGTTCCACCCCGCTGCTGTCTGATTCGTCGATGCCGCAAGCTTCCTTAATCTCGTTCAGGTCCAGGATGAAATCGCCGCAAATAAAAACGAAAGCCAGATCAAATTTGCCATCAACCAGGTGGCGCAGGCCGACGTTGGGCACACTTTCTGAGGCCTCACCTCGAACAGCATGTTGTTTCTGGATGTCGGCAAGCGCCTGGCGAACATCGTTGTCCGTTTGGTGCAGCTCGCTCTCGGTGCGCTTCATGCTGGCAGCGAAGTCATCGACGTCATTTCGCCGCTTCTGTAGCTTCTCGCACTCGTAGCTGAGCTTCTTCTCAAGCTGGACCTGCTTCTTCTCTGCGTGAGTGAGGCGTCGGCGTGCTCTCGCCATTGGCCCCGCTGGGAGCCTCGCCGCCAAGGCGGCGTAGCGGCGCGCTCCCTCCCCATCACCTGCGCATTAAGCCATGCGCTGCAGAGCCTGGGCCTTCTCGGGCGCGATAGCGGGGGGAGGCCTGAGGGCATGGGTGGGCCTGGGCCAGCACTGCCAGGGCCCTCGCCCCCCACCCCCCGCCCTTGCCCTCCCCGTTCTTGCCGCCCTTGCCCTTGGGAGTCTGGGTCTCACTTGGCCTGCGACGGGGGTGCCGAGCTTCCGTGATCAGGTTCAAACGGATATGTTCGCAGGCGGGCACCTCAATGCTTGCAGTGCAGAGTTTCCTTCGTGGTTTTCCTGCAGCTACAATAATGGCAGAGGATGTCATCTTTGGTGTTGCTGAGTGTGTCCCAAGTGCCCGACCATCCATCGTATTGCGCACGTCCTGTTTCTGCTGCGTCTGGCTGCTGTCCTGCGGAACGTAGCCCGCAGGGGCCGCCCCAACGTCGTTGCCTCCAAGGGGGACCCGCGCCAGCCCAATGAGAGGCAACCATTGCCCCAGCAACTGAAGCAGAGCGGTCGTGGTGAGAGACCCTCGCTGGGCAAGGGTGAGGGCTGAGCTCCCTTAAACTGAATGGTACTGAGTGTGAATCAAGCCACTCGGCCCGCAACAGCACGCGGCCGCCCTGACTGTACATGCGGCTGCAAGCACAGGGCCAGCCCCTGTGCCAGAACGGCTGAAGGAGGGGGAGGGAGGGGGCAAGAGGAGGAGGAGTAGGGGGTTGGAGCGTCCAGGGGGGACGGGTCATCCGAAACCTAGCCTCATCTACGCCTGGGCCGCCTGCGACGAGTACCGCCGAGGGGAAGCTCGACAGCCTGCAGGGTCGCACGAGCGAGGGAGGTGGCGTCAGCCACATTAAAGCTGGAAGTGCAAAGCAGTGAATTTAAGGGCCTCGGGATTAGGGTGGATGAGGCCGAGAGGCAGGAGTGGGTCCAAAAATGGTGGAGCGGCTAAATCATACCCGAGCTGCCTACGGATGAGCACCTACATGGGCGAGCACTCAGCATAAGAATGATTGAGCGAGCCGCGGGCCCCAGGACATCCCCAGACGCAGCCCCTATACGGGCTGCGCCTCCTAGACTCTGTGATTCACCCACCTCCCCACGTCTTAATGCTGGCACTTCTCCAGGATGAGGGGAAGCGAAGCATCACCGAGACGACGGCCGACCAGTCGATCGCCGCAGCATCGGCGGGGGGGACCCCGAACCAGCGGCTAAGACGGGCGCCCAGACGCTGATGGAGAAGAGGAGGAGCAGGAGGGACAGGGAGCGACGATTGCAGGAGGGAGGAGTAGAGGAGACTCTGTGCGCGCACACGCGGCGCCAGCTCTTGGCCCCCTCCCCCGCCGGCCTCTGCGGCAGGGCCAGGGAGCGCGCGGCGGACTGGCGCGGCGAGGGCCACGCGGAGGGCGCGGACGGCGACGGCGCGCGGCGTCCCCGAGGCCGCCCGCCGCCTTCTCAAGGGTCGTGGCGACGGCGTCGCTATGCCACCACGACGGCCATGGGCGCCCTTCGACCACGCGGACGATCGGGAGGCTCCAGCGGGCAGCACGTCGGAGGGCGCCAGCCGCCTCGCGCCAGGCCGTCGATGTCATCGTGGCCGCGCGCACCGGCGAGGCGGCGCACCACAGGGGGGCCGACGGGATGGACGGCCCGCCGACCGCTGGGAGCTCGTGCCACCCCCCATATCCTAGGAAGCTGCCAGGGAGACGGCGCAGCCTCGCCAACAGGACGCGCTCCAGCTTCTTGAAGGCATGCGGCGCTTCTATGAGCTGCGCCTTGTACGCCAGCACTGAGAGGCAGCGCTCGTGGTAGAGGAACACGGCCGAGTGTGTGTCGGCGCGGCTTCTGGCGATCTCACCGACGCGGTCGGCGTACTTCGCGAGCGGCGAACGCCATTGAGCAGCAGGCGCCGCTCAAGGCCTCATCAGCATGCCCAGGTACTCGAGGCTGTCGACAATGAGGAAGGCATCCCAGGCAGGGCCGGCAGCCGCCAGCCAGGTGCGCACGCGCACGTCGGCAGGAGGAGGAGGAGGGGGAGGAGGAGGAAGAGGAGGAGGAGGAGGAGGAGGAAGGGGAGGAGCAGGAGCAGATCGACGATGATCACCAGAGCGCGTCCCGAAGCTGCCGCCCCCCCGGCGGCGCGAGCTCCCATAGCCCTGGGCGCCTCGCTCTTCGCCTCCGTCGTCTTCGTCTCCGTGCCCGAGCCGCCACTACCGCCCGACGAGCCCGAGGCTCCCTGAGGGCGGCCGCGGCGTAGACCCTCCCGCCCCGTCGCCGCATCCGTCATCCTCGTCCTCCCCTCCCCTCATCCTCCGTCCTCCCCTCCCCCTCGTCCTCCCTCCCCTCTCCTCCCCTCCCACACGTCCTCCCTCTCCCTCCCCTCTCCTCCTCTCCCCCTCGTCCTCCCCTCCCCTCGTCCTGCTCCCTCGTCCTCGTCAGCAGCAGCAGCCGCATCGGCAGCGTCATCAGAATGGTCATCGCCGTCGTCATGACCACCCAATCGTCCTCATCATCGTCAAAGTCCTCACCATCATCGTCGTCATCATCCTCATCACCACCACCACCACCACCACCACCACCACCACTGTCATCATCATCATCATCATCATCATCATCATCATCATCATCATCATCATCATCATCATCATCATCATCATCATCATCATCATCATAATCATCATCATCAGAATCATCAACGTCATCATCATCATCATCATCAGCATCATCATCATCATCATCAGCATCAGCATCAGCATCATCAGAATCAGCATCAGCATCAGCATCATCATCATCATCAGCATCAGCATCATCATCATCATCATCATCATCATCATCATCAACATCATCATCAGCATCATCAGCATCATCACCATCACCATCATCATCATCAGCATCAGCATCATCGCCAGCATCATCATCATCATCATCAGCAGCATCATCATCAACAACAAAAGCATCATCATCAGCATCAGCAGCATCATCATCATCAGCATCAGCAGCGTCATCATCATCAGCGGCATCAGCATCATCATCAGCAGCATCAGCAGCATCATCAGCATCATCATAATAAACAACATCATCATCAGCAGCATCATCATCATTAGCATCAACATCATCATCATCATCAGCAGCAGCAGCATCGTCATCAGCATCGTCAGCATCAGCATCATCATCAGCAACATCATCAGCATCAGCATCATCATCATCAGCAACAGCATCATCATCATCATCAGCGTCATCATCATCAGCGTCATCATCATCATCACCAGCATCGTCATGAGCAGCAGCAGCATCACCATCATAAGCAGCAGCATCATCAGCATCATCATCACCATCATCATCAGCAGCATCAGCATCAGCATCATCATCATCAACATCAGCATCACCGCCACCGCCACCAGCATCATCCTCAGAACCAGCATCATCATCAGCATCATCAGAATCAGCAGCATCATCATCATCAACAGCAGCATAATCATCAGCATCATCATGAGCATCATCAGCAGAATCAGATGCATCGTCATTATCAGTACCACCACCATCAGCTTCATTGCCATTCTCAGCATCACCAGCAGCATCAGCATCGTCAACATCCTCGTCGTCACCCTCCCCAATCAATCCTCTCTTTCACGATGTTCCTCCCTCTCCTACTGCCACCCATGATCGTCCCACTTATCATCAATCTCCTCGCGGCATTGGACACTCACGGAACACCGTTGATGATGAGTGACGGCTCCGCCTGCGCCTGCTACTACTCCCCCCCGGGTCTGCATATGTTATATCCCCCTTTCTACTCGCGCCTTCACGAGGAAGAGGGTGGCCTTGCTCACGACCTTGGAGGTCTCGAGCGTGTCCTCGTCCTTGAGCAGTTTGCCCTCGAGGGAGGGCTCGAAGGAGGGGAGCCTCCTCTTCCTCCTCCTCCTCCTCGTCACCGTCCTCGTCATCGTCCTCCTCCTCCTCCTCCTCCTCCTCCTCGTCCTCCTCCTCCTCCTGATAACCATCATCACCAACATCAGCATCAGCATCATCATCAGCAGAATCAGCATCAGCATCATCATCAGCATCATCATCAGCATCATCAGCATCATCAGCATCAGTATCAGCAGCAGCATCATCAGCAGCATCATGTTCAGCATCATCAGCATCATCAGCATCATCATCGGCAGCATCAGCATCGGCAGCATCATCATCATCATCAGCAGCATCACCATCAGCATCATCATTCATCATTGTCAGCATCATCAACATCTCAAGTGTCATCATCACCATCATCATCATCAGCATCATCAGAATCATCATCAGTTTCACCAATAGCATCATCAGCATGTTCATCATCCTCAGCATCGTCAGCATCGTCGTCTTCGTCGTCGCCACCATCATCATCATCATCATCATCATCATCATCATCATCATCAGCATCATCATCAGCATCATCCACAGCAACATCATCGACATCAGCATCATAATCATCATCATGAGCGGCAACGTCATCATCAGCATCAGCAGCAGCATCAGCATCATCATCGGCATCATCTTCATCAGCATCATCACCATCAGTATACTGATCATCATCATCACCACCATCATCACCATCATCAACAACATCAACAGCAGCAGCCTGATCCTCATCCTCGTCCTTTCCCTCATCCTCATCCTCCTGCTCGTCCTCCTCCTCCTCCTCTTCCTCCTCCTCGTCATCCCTCCTGCCTCCTCCGCCTTCCCTACTCCCTCCTTACTCCTCCGTCCTCCCTCATCCGTCCCCCCTCGTCATCCTCGGAGCCCCCTCCTCCTCCGCCTCACTCCTCCCTATCTGGGCCCTCGCCCCCCCCCCCCCCTCATCGCCGCGGCTAGACGCGGCTCGGAAAGGCGCCCTGGAGGGGTCCAGGAGCAGATTCGCGAGTTCTGTGGTCCGCGATATGCAGAATGCCTACGCAAAGCCTCACGGTACCGAACGCAGAGCCGCCGAGAGCGGTGCGCAACGATGCAGACGCTGTGAATGCCGATGTTGCTCGGGGTGGCGCTGGCCTCTTGTTCAGATTCATCAACAGAACATTGCAACGGCAGGATACGCATATGGATGATGGCGCTGGCCTTGCGGGTGGCGCTGGCCTTGGGGGCGCAGGATTATTGCAACGGTGGGGGTGGCGCTGGCCATGGGCACCTTCCCCGAAGGGGAAAGCTGCACACGACCTCCCATGGACGGGCGTGGTGCGCAGATCCTCCCCCTCGCGCAGCAGGAGATGTAGTCCGAACCTGCCCATGCGAGGTTGTTGGCGCCGCAGACGGGGAAGGAGCCCTCATGTGCAGGTTTAACTGCAGGACAAGAAGGAGGAACTGCAGGGGTAGGGTCGAGTCGCGTCGCATCGCGCCACTGCGGGGTACTCAGCCGAGGAGGTGGCCGAGGTAATGAATCGCAGACGTTGGAGAACGGCCGAACCACTAGAGGACGTTGAGGCGGATGAGGAAGATCGACCGGACGCCTGCACGGCTCGAGGAAGAAATGAGGCGCGGTCGTCATCCAGTAGGTGCCCGGGGTCGCTGGGGGGCCAGCCGCGATGTGCCCTGGGGCTAGGAGGGGAAAGGGGACATGACTGGAGCGGGAGCTGCACCGAGAAAAACAGCTGCAGGATGCCATGGAGGTACTGGGAGGCGATCAGCAGCACCAGGGTGCTCGATCTTCAGGGTTAAGGCCCACGACGGTGACCACGCAGAGCGGCAGCTGCTCGAGGAGCGCGCAGTGCCTCACGACGGGATGTTCCTGCTCAGGAGGCCGCTGGAGGTCGCCGCATGGGCGCATGGGGGCTGAAGATGTTCATGTTCTCGAGATGATCGAAGGATGAAGCGGTTGCCAATCGTGGCGACGCTCGACGTGTGCATAGAGTCATGGCCGATGTGATGGCGAGGTAGTGTTTGAGATAGGCGAGGTTGCCGCGCAGTAGCGCGTGGCCATGGCTGCTCAATGTGCAAGAGGGGGCAGTACAAGCTTGATTTCGATTCATGACAGTGACACCGTGTGGAGGGCAGATTACAAGCCGAATAGCTGCGCGCAGCCCGATTGCCTCCTCTTCCCGTGGGGTCCTTTGAGACTGAAGGGCAAAGAGCCGCCAGTGGAAGGTGGGGGAGGGCAGAGCGGGGAGAGGAGAGGAGGGCAAGGCTCTCTCTCTCCTCCCCCGCCGGTCGCCTTCAGGAAGAGGCGCTGCTGGTCGGCGGAGAGGCCGCACTCGTCGGCGATCTTCTTCTTGAGATCGCCGACAGTGGTGCTGGACTCCTCGGCGAGGAGGGGGAGGGAGGAACGGAGCGAGGAGGAAGGGGGCGAGGAGGGTGGGAGGGAGGATGGAGCGAGAAGGGATGGAGGGGCGGGAGGGGGCGAGAAGAGAGGGAGGGGAGGGAGGAGGGGAGGGGAGGGCGGGAGTGGAGGGAGGGAGCGAGGGGGGAGGGAGGTGGGAGGTGGCAGGCATTCGACGAGAGCATCGTCGGTAGCAAGCGGGCGCGCTGGCTCGCTCTGACGCAGCGGCCATGTGGTGCCATACACGTTGAAACTGCGACACAAAGGGGGGGGGGGGGGACTGGGGCCATGGCACACCGACCCCGTGACCGACGAGGCAGCAGGGCAGCAGGGCACCCCGGAAAGGCGTCGTCGTTGTCGCCGTCACCCTTCCCCCGTATCCCTGTCCGTGGGCCCTGCTCGTCAAACGTCCAAACCAAAGAGAAATCGAGCAGCGTCGCAATCGAGTTGAAGGGAAGCCCCTTCCCTTTGATCCCTTCTCCGCCCGGGGATACCGGGGGGGTCCAAGGGGGGGGGTCCGGGGGGGTCCGGGGGGGGGGGGTCCCAGGGGGGTCCCAGAGGGGGCCCCGCCCCCGTGGGGGAGCACCCCTCCCTGGGAGAAGCTTTCCCCTTCGATTCCTTGCCTCCCATACGCCCCAGGTTCCCCCATTCAGGGTCGGCAGCCCCAGCCGCATAAGGCCTTCACAATGCTGAAAGACAGGGCGCCGAGCGGCGGGCGCGAGGGAAGGCCACGTGAGTGCGGACTCCTCCTCGTCCTCCTCCCCCCTTTTATGTGGCTCATCGCAACTTCTGCGGGGCAACAAAGTCCATGCTCTTGAAACTCATGATCTGCTACCACAGCCAAACGAAAACTGGTACGGCAGTGGAACACATGAAGACGGGTGGTGTCAATGATGTGAGGTCACCAACAGGCACTCTTAGAGGTAGTTGGACACGAGCTTGGCCAGACGTAAGTGCGCTTGGTGTGCCAGCCTGCGCGCGCACAGGCGCACAACCAGGCGCAACGGCGCCCCAGCGTGTAGCACAGTGCGTTGTTGGACACAAGCGTGGCATGCATCTGCCTTTGCGCGCGCTCCAACGCACAGCTGAGCGTACTGAAACCCAGCGTGCACTGCAAGGCGCGTAGGTGCGCGCGGGCGTGGCACGTCGCATTTGCTGGCACCGCGGGGCACCGACCACGCACCAGCGCGCGTGGCACTTATAGCAAGCCTTGTTTGCGCAGCTGCATCACCGGGCATGGGCAATGCCCCGGGCGCGCTGAGCGGCACATGGGTGCCCATGGGTAGCGTGCACCGCGAAGCCCACACCGCCGCGCACTGGCAATACGCAGGCGTGCCCCCCACCAGCGAGTCCTGAATGACAGGACACTTGCCATTGAAGGGGCAAACGTGCACACTTCTCTGCCCAAAAGATACCGAAGCAGAGGGTGCACAGATTGCCGCGTGGCCGCGTGCCTAGGCCGAATGGTACGGCCGAAGGCACAACAAACGTGTCAACGTGCCTACAGCTGCACACTGTGCGCATCGTGCGTCCGGGCGCAAGGGCGCACAGCATGCACCAGAGCGTGGAACGCCGGGTCTTGTCACCAACTGAATGGCGCAGCTCTGCCCCGATTGCGTGTCAATCGTACTCAACATTGCGAAACTGCTGGATAAGTCAACGGGCGGCGTGCCACTGGTGGGGCTGACAAGTGGCTGTGGCCAGGGCCGCGCGCGGTGTAGCACGTAGACTGGGCCACTTCCTTGTTATTTGGGGAAAGGTGTGTGACAAGGCGTCCAGGCAGCACGCGGAACGACAGCACCAGGTGCCAGCGACATGCCTGGACTCCTCATCCTGGAAGAGCACTGGTGTGGGTATCAGTGAGGTCCCCGTCGAACTCCGCGCCGAGGAAAAACCAGAAGAAGAAGAAATACGGCAGCTCGGAGTTGCCTATTTGGTCGAAGAAGACCAAGAAATCATCTGGGCAATGGCCGTGACGTAGCCGACGTACTGGCTGCATCTGGACGTAATGTCAGGCCGGCTGCGGCCCACAGTCGGGACAAGAACATGCATCGGCGGCATCAGTTTGGTGAGGGGTGCAAGCTGCCCACGAGCGCCGAGAAGGATATCCTTCTCCACGATGTGAGCTGCGGAAGCGCCTTGGGCTCGGGCCTGCGCAAGGACGAACACCATGCTGAAGCAGGTGGCAGCCGTGGTAGTAATGTTGCCCTTGACTCGTGCCGAGGGTGCCGGGATAGAAACATTAAAACCCAATGCTCCATTCGAAAGGTGCTGAAGCACGGCACTCGCCCGGGGAGGAGCCTCGAAGTCATGCCCGACGCGAAGCTGCGGCCAGTGCCTGTGGGATGCAATGGGTCGAAGAACGTCGTGGCGCTCCCGTGGGCGAGTCGCTCCACATCGCGGTAACGCCTGCAGCAGCTCTCGAACGTCTCACACGGTCCGGTGAGCGTCCAGGGCGAATTGCGACGGTTTGCAGAACAGCAATAACCACAAGCTGCTCGGGACATGAAGGGCTGTACCGATGAAAAGATTGAGGACAGTGCAAATGCGCGCCCACATCGCAGTATGCGCAGTCATGTGGATCCCGAGCTGGGATCGTTTCCAGCTCTGCTACCAACTAGAATTGCGGGTGGCAGTGGTCAAAGATAAGAGACGTGGCGGCAATTGTAACATGGGAGATAGCAAAGCGGCGGTTCTTCCTCCCTTTCACTAGTATCAGGTACGCTGGCCAGCTGTGAGCAATACGGCAGCGAACCCCTTCTGTCCGCGTGAGGAGGAGGACGAGGAGGAGGAGGAGGAGGAGGAGGAGCAGACGGCGGAGGAGGAGGTCGAGGTGGAGGAGGCCGAGGGGGAGGAAGAGGGACAAGGCCGCGCGTCAACGCCGCGGCCTCCCGAGAGGAGGGGGGGGCGACGCGCCGCTGAGGCCCCGGCGATGCCCTCGAGCTTGCACGACTTCACGCTGCCGGAACCTGGCCCGGGCCCACCTCTTCTTAATCGCTGTAACGGCCGTTACCAGCCCTGCCCACACCTTTCCCCTCCCCCCCATGGTCACGTCACGATTCGATTCCAAAACCGCGCCAGCCCGAATTGTGACGTGACTGGCCCCCTCCACCCCTTCCCCCAGCCACGCCTGTTGATCGCCAGGGGGCGCAACAAAGTGTTTCCTGGAGAGGACGGCGAGACTGGCCCCAGGCGCGGGGTCTGCAAAGTTTTGCTCACCAATTTCAGCCTTCGAAAGCCCGCAACCACATGCGAACTCTACCCCTGCAGGTCTGAGTTCTGAAAAACTGGCTGGGGCTCCGAAGGATGCGCCTACAGCAGAGTGGGCCCCAGCGGGGGTCCGATACCCCAGCGTTGATTGGACCCGTAGGGGTAGGTTTCGCAACTGGTCGCAGAAGCTGGCTTCATGCCCTGAGACCGTCAGAAATCGATCCGAGATGAAGAACCGCCCAAGATAGGCCCCCGGAGAGGTCTGGGGACTGGCTTTGGGCGGAGAATGTCCTCTCGGGGGGCCCTGGCCATCCGACCGCCTGCACCCATGTAGGCTGGGACCGTCCTGAGCGCCAGGCATGGGGGTTCCATAAGAGGGGTTGAAAGGGGAGGGGAACCTGGAGGAGGAGATGGAGAACGAGGAGGAGGAGGGAGCAAGCGAGCGAGCGAGCGAGCGAGGACGACGAGGGCCAGAAGAACCCCAAAATGCACCAACGATGCTGCCAATGCACCCTCCCGTCCCGAGTCCCCTCCTCAGCTTTCTTTCCGAATATCTCTTCTCTGCGGGAAGCGCCCCCTTGACAGACGGACGCCCCGTGTGCCGGTCACTCCTCTTTTATGTTGAACAAGAACGGCACTAGCACGATGAAGCGGATAGATCGAGAGCTACGTGTTGACGAGGATACGTCCCCGTTCATGCAACTGATCCACACGTGTTGGACTTCGGATCATGGAATAAGAGGAAGTCACAAGCGAGACCGCCATCTAAAAAAGGAGGCACCTCCAATATGTGTAACTGTTGCATACTTCGACCTTCAATCCACAAAAGTCTAAGAAAGTCTCAAGCGGAAGCCCATTCTGGAACGGAACCGCGCTCCACATGCAAAGGGCTTTCAAACGAGAGTGCGCGGTGACAAAAGAGCAAGATTTGAAAACGAACCGCCCTCCATACCGTGAGTTGTGTCATGGAACTGTGCGTAACACCATGTTGAAAACAATGTGTGTTCCGTCCGTGTAATTGACGGGAACATCCAATTTCGAGATCATAATTCGCAAGGGCGAAGAAGTCTCAGGCGAAACGCCAAGCCCACCGGAACAACACGTCTGGTTGCGAGACAGGAAAAGTTATCTACAAGGACGAGCGATGAAGGAAGCGAAGGAGGAGGAGCGGTACCGAGAGAAAAAGAAGGATGGGAAGAGGAAGGATGAGGAGAGGCACGACCAGGGAGGCAGAGAGGTTGGAGGGAGGGAGGGAGGAAGGAAGGGCTGGGGTGAAAGGGGAGAGAATGCTTTCAGAGTTTCAGCGCCCACTCACGTCTTAGTGGTGGTGGGAGCTTTCAGGATGCACTAATTACGCGCATGTCCAGGGCGTCTATAGTCTATGATGTGCGTGCTGCGTTCCTGCAGGAAGGCCCTGCCTCACCCCAAGGTGGCCTCACTGACAGGCTGCACCTGAATGATCGTCGAGAGGTGGGGGGGTGGCTCAGTCAGGTAGGAGTGTGGGAGGCCCTCGGCCAAGTAGGAGGGTGGGAGGCCAACACCAAAGCAGGCGGCACGAAGCGGTTCAGCTTGTGCCCTACGCTGGGAGAAAAAACAGCATCAGCATGCAGCATCAGCATACACTTTCGTCGGTCCGCACGGATTTCTCAGATCGGCGCGCGCCCCTGACGCGCTCCGCGCGCCAGGGAGGAGGGCCCAGCGCCGATCCAAGAAATCCGCGCGGACCGTCGAAAGTGTGTACTTATGCCGATGTTCCTTCTTCGATACGTGTCTAGCAAGGTGAAGAGGAGAAGCTGGACGGAGGCCGCCATTCGCCCCGCCTGTGACATATCCATCCCCCTCGGCCTCGCAGGACAGGCCAATCGCCCTCCTGGCCCTGGAGATCCGCGCCCCGCCCCGCGGCAGAGCTTACCTGTTTCTGCGTACGTACGCTGCCCCTGCCACAGCCCACTCCTCCTCCTGGAGGAAGACAGCAGCAGGGAGGAGAGAAGGATGAGGGCTGAAGAAGCGGACGAGGAGGAGGAGGAGGAAAAGGAGGAGGGAAGGAAGGGGAAACGCTACGGTGTCACACAGAGATCCATGGTTCTAGAGGTGCGGGGCAGACGCTGCTGTAGGGCAGGCGCCATTGCCCAAAGTTGCCAGCCAGAAAGTCGCGGCTCCGAGAGCTACGACCTCATCGTCATCCTCGTACGCCTCCTCGAAGTCCTTCTCCGCCTCCTTCCTCCTTCGCTTCCCCTGCCCCTGCAGCAGTCGTCTGCTTTGAGCGTCGCAGCGGCCCTCGCTCCCAGCGAAAAATAAGCTGTTTCAGCAAGGGCTGCAGAGAGCACCGGAAACTTCACAAACAGGATCGGGTGCAAGAAGCTGCTCGGCTGCCGGGTCGAGTCTCGTGTTCGAGACTCGATCCGCCTCTCGATCTTGAGAGCGCATGGGCAACACCCGAGGACAATCGAGTCCGGCTCACAATGAGCCCGCGAGGAAGCTGGACACATGTGCCCGCACAGAAGGAGTCCAAAAACCTGGCGGTGACTTCTGCTGCTATTGAGACCCAATCAAGCTGCGCAATGAACGACGAGCAGCAGCAACAGCGGCAGCAGCTGCGGATCGCAAAAGAGGAAAGGTAGAGAGACTGAAGCGATACTGTGCTCAAGCAAGGAATGAGCTGGAGTGGCCTTTCACGTTCAGATCCATTATGTAGGCTCCTTCCATTGCGGCAATAGACGGGATTTAAGCGGCGCGTGGCTTCACCGAGACACCCACCCACTCATCCCTCGCACACGATTGCTCTCAAATTCTACTTGGCTGAAGGCTACTAGCTCCATGACAAACGTTTGAACTTCAGTAATATGGCTCCTTCTTCCCAACCAGCGTCCAGGGAACTTCAGTTGAACCGTCGAGAATTCGAGCTCGAAGGGCAGGCGGCGGCATGCAATCTCGTATCCGGCATAGCTTACGCATGCTGACACGGATGATGCGCACTGAGCGCTCTTAAGCAGACAGTTCGATCGTCGGACATCATGAGGACAGCAGGGTCGACCTCTCTGGGAGCCGTTTGTTGTATCGGGAAGAGGCGCTCCCGTTTCTCTTACTCTGGCTTCCACGAGCCTTCCACCAGCTATTGCCAGGAACTGCAAATTACCACACAACGTGGCTTCAAGACGGCCCTAGAAAGCCCAATATTGCTTCCAGAATAGCTAGAGATTGCTCAAGCTGACACAGCAAAGCCTCCAGCCTGGCTCCGAAATGCCACAACCAAGCCTCGGATGGCCCGAGATGGCGCCGGAGCCACCCAAGGGTAACCCAGAGATATCAAAACCATTTCAAAACAACATAAGTGAAATCATTGATCCCCATCGTATGTTATTTGTTTCTCGATTTGTAGTGGTGCAATAGGTGCATGGTGTTACCTATGTGTTGCATTGTGTGTGGCGCAATATACGTGATGCACGATACATATGGTATGTGAAGCTGTATATGCTGGTATGCATGTTGATGTATGTGTGTAGGCAAAGTATGTGCATATGAAGGCGTGTACGCATATGCAGACGTACACGTATGCGTGTACACATAAGCACACATCTGTATATGCATACGTATATGTTTATGCATATGCATGTGAACGTGCATGTGAGCATGTACGTGCAAACGCGTATGTGCACATATATGTGTAGATGTGTGCATGTGCGTATGCACATGCCAAAAATGTGTCTATATGCTTAACCGTATACATTTATGTATATATATATATACCAATATGTGCATGTGTATGTGCGTGTGTATGTGCATGTCTACGTGTATATGTGCATGTGCGTATATGAATGAAAAAGAATATAGATAAGACTGCGTACGCCTGGGTATACGTAAATGTCTGTGTGGGCTGGAATGCATGTGTACATTATGGGCAACTGGACGGTCTGATATTCGTGTGTATGTATAAGATGTGAGTATGCATGTGTGCGGTGTGTGGCACAACATGTGAGATGTGCAATGTTTGTGGTGCACTCTGCAGGATGCCTCACACTTGGAGAAGTCAACGGGATGCGCAATCGATGGGTTGAAAGCTACGTAGTGCAAGCGTGCAACGTACGTGGTACAATCCAGTTGGCGCAACCTTTGTGTTGCATGCCATGCGGTGCAACACAGCTTGTGTGCAAGCTGTGCAGCGCCAACGCCAGTCAGCACATGGGCCGGGCACGGGGCGGGCACGGGCTGGCACCAAGCAAAGCCCAGAACCTCCACCCAACGCACGGGGTGGGCACGCACCGCACCGCACGGCCACTTCCTCCCCCGCCTCCTCCTCCTCCTCCTCGTCCTGCTTCTCTTGATCCATCACCCGTCCATTCTCCCCAAGCTCGCTGTCCGGACTGCTAAACGCGCATTGACGAGCGAGAGAAGCCAAAGAGAGATGAGGAAAAGCTGCATGTCGTTGGCAGAGAAAAGGGAAGACCAGAGGAGAGCAGGGAAAGAGGGAACGGGAATGAAAAGAGAAGGGATGCAGGTAGTGAAGAGAAGAAGAGAGCGGGCGGGCAATGTGGATTCGTCCAGGATGCTTGGTCGCATGTCCGAGAGGGGGGAACGGTCGGACAGCGGCTTGGAAAGTGCGTGCGAGGCTGACGGATGGATAGGGGGGAGGGAACAAAAAGCGCAGGGAGCAAGGAGGAGAGCGGAGAGACGATAGATTGGAAGAAGCGGGAGGGAGGCGGGAGTCAGCGCGGTGGTCGAGCGCATACCCTACTCCGATGTCTCCTCCTCCGCCTCCTCCTCCTCCTCCTCATGCTCCTAATGCTCCTCCCTCCTTCTCCTTATGCTCCTCCTGCTCCTCTTCCACTCTCGTTGCTCCTTACGCATCATCCTTCTTCTCCTCCGCCTCCTGCTCCACCTTCACCTCCTCCTTGTCATCCTCGTCCTCCCTGATCCTCGTCGTCATACCACCAAGCGGGTCGTCTGTTTCGTCGGAAACTTTTTCACAATGCATCATCATGAGACTTGGAATGTGCAAAATCCACATGAATTGAGTGCGGGCCGTTTCGCCAGATTAACCAGCACGTCGCTCACGTCCAGTCCAAGGGTGCAAGGGAGTCAATGAACGCGGCAGTGCGACTGGTGAACATGCGCTACAGCGATCCTCGCTACAGAAGTTCTCCTGCTGCTCTTCATCCACCTCCTGCTCCCGCTCATCCTCTTCCTACTCTCCTGCTCGTGCTCCTCCTCAGAATCATCATGCTCTTCATAGTCCGCATGCTCCTCCCTCCTCCTCCCCCATCCTCCTCTTCCTCCAGCTCCTCCTACCACTCCGCTTGGGCAGGAGTTGCAAGCAGGACTGCAGCCAGGTCCCCAGGGAGCCCTGAAGAGGAGGGCCCAGGATCTCTTCAAGGACCTTTACCTCGTCCTGCGGGGCGAGGGAGGATAGTCGCGAGGTGCGCCCAGTGCCTCGATTGAGCTCGCCGCTCGCATAGGCGTGCTTGGCCGGGCACGTTCGGTCAGGGCCACCCCCCCCCCCACCCCAGGCCTGGGGAGACAGCCTTCAGAAGTCGGGCAAGAATTCGATCGCACTGCCTGACTCGAGGTTGCATGGCGTCCATTCGCAAATCCGCCGCCGCCGCCGCCTCCCCATCATGCGACACGTAGCACCCCGCAATTGCGGATGAGAGTGAGGGGGTGGACGGCCGGGTTGCAAGGTGGGTCGCGGATGGGTCGCGGGTGGGTCGCGGATGGGTCGCGCGTGGGTCGCGCGTGGGTCGCGGGGACGACGTCGAGGACGACGACGATAACGACAACAACCACAACAACAACCAGTCAGTTTGAGACTGTTCACTCTTAGACGCGTGCGTGCCAATATCTGTACTACCTGTTACGTGTATTTCGTGCAGCCCCTAAGGCAGGGGAAGAGAGGACAGATGAAAGAAGGGACAAGGGGGAGCGAGGAGGATGGAGCACGAGAGAGAGTAGCAGGAGGGGGGCTCGGAGCAGAAAACACGTGGCAGAGCCAGACAGGCTGATTGGGCGGGTAGCCCTAAAGGGCGGGTCGGAAGGCGGGCCCAGATGGCCAGGTCGAGCAGGCGGGTTGCTGAAGCGTACGTCCTGCATGAGTCGCGAGGAGGTCTCGAGCGATAGCGCGATGTTTAAATACATCGTGAGGAAACCCACAACGAGAGCGTGATTTCTGAGTGTAGAGGGCGCGGCGCTTGAATACATTGCGAGGAAGTCCCACGCGAGAGCGCGATTCTTGTATACATTGTGAGGACCTCCCGCGCGAGAGCGCGATTTGGGAATCAATTGTGAGGAAATATCAAACGGAAACACTTGTTGTAAACCGGGGGCCAGGGGCACAATTTGGTGGCACCCCGCTTTCCCCAGTAAAAAACGGGGTGCGGGCCCCAGGAGAGACACTATAAATTAAGATATGCAAACATTACCGGGCAGGGGGGATCAATAATAATTATACCCGAGACATAGCAATTCAACCACAACAACAACAACAACAACAACAACAACAACAACACCAACACCAACACCAACAACAGTAACAACAACAACAATAACAACAACAACACCAACACCAACAACAACAATAACAACATCAACTACAATAACAACACCGACAGCAACAACAACACCAACAGCAACAACAACAACACCAACACCAACACCACCACCAACACAACAAAACCAATTACCACAACAACAGCAACGACAACAACAGCAACAACAGCAATAACAAGACTTATGTTACAAGACTGTTCGTTTCTATCTGCTCGCGTACCACTCAATATGTATATCCCAAACCCTCGGTACCCGCTCTCTTCGTCTTCGATCGTACACCCACTGGGCCTCGGGAGTATACATATTGATCCCCTGCTACGTGTATTTAGCGCAGTCCCTGAAATAGGGAAAGAGAAGACGGATGGAAGGGGGAGGGAGAAGGATGGAGCACGAGAGACATTTGCAAGAGGGAGGCCAGGAGCAGAAAACAAGGACCCTGATGGGCGGGTCGAGAAGGCGGGCTCAGGCGGCCACGTCGAGCAGGCGGCTTGCTGAAGCGCGGGTCCTGCAGGAATCGCGAGGAGGTCTCGCGCGATAGCGCGATCCCAAAGTAGATCTAAGAAAAAAAAGCGAGAGCGAGCGTGCGACTCCTGGGCGTCGACGGCGCGGCGTCTGGATACATAGCGAAGAATTCCCACACGAAAATACGGTTCCTGCATACGTTGTGAAAAAGTCCCGCGCGAAAGCTGGATGTGTTGAATACATTTTGATGGAATATCAGGCGGGAGCCGTTGTTGTTGCAAGTCCAGGGCCAAGGGCGCAGTCTCAGGAGGAAGACCTGAAATAGGGTGCGAGCCCTGGGAGGCACTTGAACTGAAAAGCACAAGGTGCACCGGGGGATCAGCTATCGTTGTTCTTAAATATAAGTGAAAACTCAACCATCAATGTAAGACTGTTCGCTCTTACCTGTCTGCGTGCCATTCAACACGTATATCCCAGACCCTCGATACCAGTCCTGTTCGTCCTCGAGCGTACTCTCTTTGGGGGGCATATCTTCTTTACCTGCCACGTGCAATTGATGTATCCCATAAATCAAATGAAGAGAGGACGAATGGAAGAGGGAGGGAGACGGATGGAGCTCGACAGAGATTAGCAGAAGGGGGGCCAGGAGCAGGACACACGTGGCAGAACCAGACGGGCTGATCGGGCGGGTAGACCC